AATGGTATAAATAAACGTGGCCTCTTGGACAAGTAGCCACTCTGCCCACCTTTCCTGCCTCTGCGTCTCCTTCATTACTCTGCTGTCTAGAAATTTCTTCCACCAGATTAAGAAGTCCATGACTTTTAAAATCAGCCTCACAGAAAGTCTCAGGGCACCAGCAAAATGCAGACAACTTCTCAGCCAGAACATAACATGCATGGCCTCTACTCCAAATTCCATTAGAGTCCTTTCATGAACCATCCCGAGCCCTGTCTTCAATGACCACTGTCGTATTGACATTCTGGTCTTCTGAGCTCCCAACAGAATTGGCCATTAAGCTCAGCTTCTACCAATCTAAAACATTTCCAGCTTGTACTGTTATACATCTCAGAATTCCTTCCACTAATTCCAAAAAGGCCCAAAAGGTTCTGAACCACATGGGCAGGTTAGTGACAGCAATGACCCCACTCCTGGTATTTATTTGTTTTATTTATTTATTTATTTTTTGCTGCTGTGACTAAAAGAATGACTAGCACAATTAAGGAGGAAAAGTTTATTTGCGGGATCAGCTTCAGAGGTCTCAATCCATAGACAGCTCCATTCCTCAGGGCTGAAGGTGAAGCAGAACATCATGGAGGAAGAGTGTGGCCGAGGGAAGCAGCTCACACAATGATCAGATAGCAGAGAGAGGTCTCCACTTGCCAGGCACAAATATATACCCAAACCATGCCCCCAATTGTCGCGTTCCATGACTAAAATACTCAGAGTCACTCTAGGTGAACTGGGCTGCACAAAATAATCACACAGAGACAGAGAAATATCTTTTTCTTTGTGTCCTGTGACGGCTCCTCTGACCTTAGGGGTCCAATGAAAGAGAGAGCCAAGGCGCACGTGCTGACCCCTTTTATTGGGGAGAAGCCATTCAAATGAGGCAAGGGGTCAGGTTTCAGGGGGTTGAGTCAAGCTTCATGATGTCTGTTGTCTTCAGATTAACTGATATCTAGGAACTCCCTGCCCATATCATGAGCCGTGTGGGGATCACAGGCAGAGCAAGAGAAAAGAGCAGAGTGAGGCCCGCCCAAACAGAGGGGCAACGGTTCAGCCCACTTTGTGCGCTCAGTGCTCACAGTTCACACACACAGACACACAGCCCATGGCTGGCTTGCCACATATCCACATTCTCATCACTCAAGGGTAAGGGGCAGCTCCCAACACCCAATGCCTTACCTCCTCCAGACACACCCAACCTGCCTTCAATTATCACTCAATCCCATCAGGTGATTAATTCATCAATTGGGTTAAGGCTCTCACAACCTAATCATTTCTCCTTCAAACCTTCTTACTGTCTCACACATGTGTTTTTTTGGGACATCTCACATCCAAACCATAAGACTTATTTATTTTTGGTGCTGGAGATCAAGCTTAGGGTCTTGCACATGCTGGTTCATGCTGTACTACTAAACTACACTCCAGCCCACTTTTATTATCCTTGAATACTTTTTATATTTACCTGTATTAAACAAATACTTAAAATGAAAATAGTCCTGAAATTATTTTCTTAATAAATAAACATTATTTATCTGGTAAGAATAAAAAAGAATTCTTGATTATTTTTCTCCCTTCTGGTGGTTGAAATGAACTACAGTCCTCAAATGGACAGCAACACAAGAATTCCCTTGAAGACCACTTTCTTTTGCAGAAATGCAAAGATGCGGGAGACACACCTTGAAGTGTTGTTATTCTCTAGGTGAAAGTGCCAACTACTGTGCTTTCGAGTATATTCGTAATTACTGCATTGTCCTCCTTTGAGTTCCATGGCAGGAAATAGAATTTCTTCTCACGTTATGGGAGTCTTTGGAGAAACACGGGACCCAGCTGATGTCCACGCTCATCAGCTGTGGGATGGGGCAGGACCCGAAGCCGAGGTGCGCAACTTTCCCTGTGTGCACAGGGGCTCTTGTCACGGTTAGGATGAGGTGCCCCGCAAGCTCCTGCACAAAGGCAGGATCGTCCCGCGGGGGACGATGGGGCTGCGGGAGCCGCAACCTCGGCCCAACCTCATCTGCTCGGCTGGGTGCTAAGGGGGGCAGGTGGGTCCCCGGGTGGCCTCCAGACCCCGCCAGGGCGGGCAGCTTTCCTGCGCTGGGTCCCTCTCTCCTCTCGGCGCAGAAGCCTGGGGTCGCCCACCCGGGACGACCCTCCGGCACCAGGCGCCAAGGACGCTGCTTCCTCTACGCGGGCCCCCGCAGGCGTCTGGGCCGCAGTGACCTTAAGGCTGGACAGCTCGGCTCTCCCGAGCCACCACGCTCTGGGCGCACCGGATGTCCCTCGCGGGGAGCGGCGCCGCCGCGTGGCGTCAGGGGCGGCCGCCCGCACCCGCGGGGCTCTCGCCGCTCCCTCCCGAGCTGACCAGCGCTGAGCGTGGGCCGCGGCGGGCAAGCGAGGCACATGGGGGCTCGGACCGCCCCGCGGACGGCAGCCAACCTGGGCCCGCCGGCCTCGGCGCGCAGCCCGGCGGGCTCAGGGGGTGCGCTTCCGTCCGGCCGAGGCCCCGCCCCTTCCGGCGCCCGCGCAGCCCCGCTAGGACCCCTGAGCGCTTCGCTTCCGGCCGGCTGAGGCCCCGCCCCTTCCGGTGCCCGTGCCCGCGCCCGCGCGCCAGCCAGCCCTCCGCTAGCTGCTAGGCAACGGTCGTGGGCCCCCGCCGCGGTGTTGAGTGGCCGGTTATGTTACAAGTCGCTTTCGCCACACTTATGTCCCTCCGGCGGTTTCCCACCCGAGAGGTGCCGCAGGGAGGCCAGAAGGAGCGCCTTGCAGGGTCCAGCGAAGGCCTGCTGGCCAGCCCGGCGCTGCGGCGCGACACTGGACAGCGCAGCGCGGATCCGGATGGATCAGCCCAGGGCAGCACGGAGCCCCGATAGCCCCGCCCAGGGGACAGCACGGAGCCCCGATAGCCCCGCCCAGGGGGCAGCACGGAGCCCCGATAGCCCCGCTGAGGGACAGCACGGAGCCCCGATAGCCCCGCCCAGGGGACAGCACGGAGCCCCGATAGCCCCCACTCAGGGGGCAGCACGGAGCCCCGATAGCCCCGCCCAGGAGACAGCACGGAGCCCGGATAGCCCCGCCCAGGGGACAGCACGGAGCCCCGATAGCCCCGCCCAGGGGACAGCACGGAGCCCGGATAGCCCCGCTCAGGGGACAGCACGGAGCCCGGATAGCCCCACTCAGGGGGCAGCACGGAGCCCCGATAGCCCCACTCAGGGGACAGCACGGAGCCCGGATAGCCCCGCCCAGGGGACAGCACGGAGCCCCGATAGCCCCACTCAGGGGACAGCACGGAGCCCGGATAGCCCCGCCGAGGGGACAGCACGGAGCCCCGATAGCCCCGCCCAGGGGACAGCACGGAGCCCCGATAGCCCCGCCCAGGAGACAGCACGGAGCCCGGATAGCCCCGCCCAGGGGACAGCACGGAGCCCGGATAGCCCCGCCCAGGGGACAGCACGGAGCCCGGATAGCCCCGCCCAGGGGACAGCACGGAGCCCGGATAGCCCCACTCAGGGGGCAGCACGGAGCCCGGATAGCCCCACTCAGGGGGCAGCACGGAGCCCCGATAGCCCCCACTCAGGGGACAGCACGGAGCCCCGATAGCCCCGCTCAGGGGACAGCACGGAGCCCCGATAGCCCCGCCCAGGGGACAGCACGGAGCCCCGATAGCCCCACTCAGGGGACAGCACGGAGCCCGGATAGCCCCACTCAGGGGACAGCACGGAGCCCGGATAGCCCCACTCAGGGGACAGCACGGAGCCCCGATAGCCCCACTCAGGGGACAGCACGGAGCCCCGATAGCCCCACTCAGGGGACAGCACGGAGCCCGGATAGCCCCACTCAGGGGACAGCACGGAGCCCGGATAGCCCCACTCAGGGGACAGCACGGAGCCCGGATAGCCCCACTCAGGGGACAGCACGGAGCCCGGATAGCCCCGCCGAGGGGACAGCACGGAGCCCGGATAGCCCCGCCCAGGGGACAGCACGGAGCCCCGATAGCCCCACTCAGGGGACAGCACGGAGCCCGGATAGCCCCACTCAGGGGACAGCACGGAGCCCGGATAGCCCCGCCCAGGGGACAGCACGGAGCCCGGATAGCCCCACTCAGGGGACAGCACGGAGCCCGGATAGCCCCGCCCAGGGGACAGCACGGAGCCCGGATAGCCCCGCCCAGGGGACAGCACGGAGCCCGGATAGCCCCACTCAGGGGACAGCACGGAGCCCGGATAGCCCCGCCCAGGGGACAGCACGGAGCCCGGATAGCCCCACTCAGGGGACAGCACGGAGCCCGGATAGCCCCACTCAGGGGACAGCACGGAGCCCGGATAGCCCCGCCCAGGGGACAGCACGGAGCCCGGATAGCCCCGCCCAGGGGACAGCACGGAGCCCGGATAGCCCCGCCCAGGGGACAGCACGGAGCCCGGATAGCCCCGCCGAGGGGACAGCACGGAGCCCGGATAGCCCCGCCCAGGGGACAGCACGGAGCCCCGATAGCCCCACCGAGGGGACAGCACGGAGCCCCGATAGCCCCGCTGAGGGACAGCACGGAGCCCCGATAGCCCCACTCAGGGGACAGCACGGAGCCCGGATAGCCCCACTCAGGGGACAGCACGGAGCCCCGATAGCCCCGCCCAGGGGACAGCACGGAGCCCGGATAGCCCCGCCCAGGGGACAGCACGGAGCCCGGATAGCCCCGCCGAGGGGACAGCACGGAGCCCGGATAGCCCCGCTGAGGGACAGCACGGAGCCCGGATAGCCCCACTCAGGGGACAGCACGGAGCCCGGATAGCCCCGCTGAGGGACAGCACGGAGCCCGGATAGCCCCACTCAGGGGACAGCACGGAGCCCCGATAGCCCCACCGAGGGGACAGCACGGAGCCCGGATAGCCCCGCCGAGGGGACAGCACGGAGCCTGATAGCTCAGCCCAGGGCCCCCCGCCCGCCGCCCCAGTGCCCTCCGGTGCGGGGCGCCTCACCGTCAGGTCGTAGTCCTCGAAGACTTCGCGAGCTTCTTCATAAGAGCAAGTCTCTTCCAAACACTCTCTTTCGAGGTTTCCTTTCTTCATCTCTTCAAAAAGTGAATTTGCTCTCCGGGTCCTCACCAGGACGTTGTTGGCTTGTTCCCGGTTAATGAACACTAGAGGACAAGGAAGGGCACAAATCAGTGTCTCTCCATTTACCTGGTGCCCCCATCCTGTGGTACCACCACCTCCGCACCTCCAGAGGCTGAGCACTCCTTCCTCAGCCCGTCTCCCTCTCCGCTCCTAACATGCCCTGGGGGAAGCCCCCATCCAGGGGACAGCCCGGAGCTCACCTGCATGGCCCTCTCTGCAGAGCCACCCAAGCTCTCCTTGGCAAGCTCCTGGCTCAGAGGGCTTCCATCAGGTGTACCCTTAGGCCACTTCCTAGTGCTACCTCTGCCCCACCCAGGCCCATCGCCCTTCAGGGCCTCTTTTGGTTGAGTGGGGAGTTATGAGCGGGTTTGATCTTGACCTATAATGTATATAAAGTCAGGACACAGAATTAAAACAGGCTTTAAGAAGTGGTACTTCTCTATTTTCTACGAAATAGTACTTGCTACAGTTTTTTTTCTATTTGATTCTATTTTATTTCATTTTTAAAATACCCACTAAATTGATTCCATGACAAAGACATGAACTGTGATCAGCTAACTTCAGTGCCCTGGGTCAGTTCATCTTTGTCCCTCCCATGTTGTGTGGGGGACCCTGGGTTCCCACCTGCCTTTTTTGGGTGGGGTACCAGGGATTGAACTCAGGGGCACTCAACCACTGAGCCCCATCCCATCCCTATTTTGTATTTTATTTAGAGACAGGGTCTCGCTGAGTTGCTTAGCACCTTGCCGTTGCTGAGGCTGGCTTTGAACTCGTGATCCCCTCCTCAGCCTCCCAAGTCACTAGGATTACAGAGGTGCGCCTAGTTCCCATCTGCTTTTGCCTCTCTGTCTCCTGCTCCTGCTCTTTTCTTTGTGACATGGGAGTGAGGGGGATGTAGAGGGTGTCAGTAGGCAGGGCAAGATGGTGAGTGAGGAGGTCAAGGTAGGGCCAGACCAAGGGAGCATGGAGAGGGTCTTCTGATGAGTTCAACTTCCTGCTTGATGAAAGTGCTTGTGGACACAGCAGGGACCCAGTCAGACAGACACTTCTGTATTTGTGCCCCAAGCAGGGGATCCAATAGAAAAACTAAAATAGATGTGTGGACAGGGTAGAGGGCACTCATGAACAATAGTGAGGTGGGTGTGCACAGGGAGGAGATAAGGGAAGGAGGAAATTGCAGGGACCATAAAAAGAACAGGCCAACACTCCCCATAGGACTTCTCGCTCCAGGGCCCCTTCAGAGAGGTCTGTCTCTGTCACTTTTGCAATGAACCTGCTGCTTGCTTGCTATCTGTGTCCTGTTCTTCAATTCTTTGCTGAGCAGAGACAACAAACCCAAGACTACTAGATGGACCAGGAGGACCTCAGATTCTTTTCTTGACCCTCTGTCCTGTTTCTTAAACTTCCTCCCACTGAAGAGTTCAGGGTCTCACCACAAAAAGGACAACTCTCCAGGTGCTACTTGTAGTAATGACTTGTTCTGAGCTCCACGTTTTCATGTCTCACTGTGGCCCCTGTCACCCCTTGTCTCAGAACACCAAGCTCCTTGTGTCCAGAATGTACAAAACAGATCAAGCAGAGTTTCAGATACACCTCTGCCATGTACTGCATTTATTGACCTACTTCTGAGTTCCATAGAGGGTGTGAAACCTCCTGTGCCGGGTCTGGTACACAGCAGGTGCTCTGTAAACGTCAGCCTTGTTCTTACCTCATCACTTTTTTCCCTAAATCCCCCCCTTTTAAGGACACCTATGTTATCCCAATAAAGCCAGGTTCAGACTTGTTTCTCCCACCATCAAGTGCTTGCTTTGAAGCAGAGCCCAAATGTGGGTCCTCGAATCTGTACACACTGCTGTCTCCAGGAGGCAGTATCCTGCCACCTGCACACCACACAGGGCTCAGTACTATCCTTAGCCACTGAGGGAGGTGTGAGAGTGGAGTGCCTGTCCCCTTAGCCTCTTCCTGGTTCCTTGAGGCACCAGGAATATCCAAGCCCTGACCAGCATTCCCCAAACTGCAACCTGTGGACCTGCTGTGGGCGGAAGACCCACGTCCTAACCCGTGCCCTGACCTTCTAATGCACACACATTGGCACACTGATCTGGGGTCCCTCCTCCTTTCTGTGCAGCCTGCTTCCTTGAAGCCAAATGGACATATGCTGGTTTTCCCTCTGCATTGCCAGAGCTGTAGCGATAGCTCACAGGCCTGCTCAAGAAACAGTCCCTGTGGTCCTTGGAGCAGCTCACCATCCTGCAGGAGCCACGCCCTTCTTGGACCCCTCCCTGAGTTTCCCAGGCTGTTCCACCAGGCCCCACCTGATCCACACCTCTTCCTGCCTCTTCCCTTTTGGTGAAGGTACAGTAGTACCTGGGAGCTTGAACTGGGAGGAGGAAGTGCAAGGCACAGGGCGAGGGCATGATGCCTGAGGAAGCCAAGAAGGAGCCACAGCTGCCTGCTGGCCTCGAGCTAGAACCAGAGGTCTTTGATCCCACGGCTGGGCCTCTTGGATTTCCTCCCTTCAAGGCTCCCTTGCACCCGTCTCTCCCACCATGCTGGCCCATTTCCTGTTTAGACTGTGCCCACCACTCTCATGCCCCAGGGCCTTTGCACTGGCCACCTTCCCTGTAGAGCATTCTTTCCCTGAATACCATGTGGCTCACTCCATCCCTCACCACTGGCTCTAAAGTTATCCCCATCCACATCTTTCGACCCCTTTCCCTGCTGTTTTTTGAACAGCACCACTGTCTGATTCTACACGCCTGCAGGTTTGTTGCCCTCTCAACTGGAATGCATCCTTGTGCAAAAAGACAGTCTTCCTTGTTGTAGCTGAGTCTCCACCGCCCGGCCTGAGGAGATGCGTGGGGAGTACGGGAGTGCACGGCCAGCCTCTGGCCCAGCCCTCTGGACGCAGTTAGGCCCTCTGAGGACTCTGACTCTTTCTTGGTCAGACCCAGTGCCGGCCAGTGGTCTCACTTTCTGAATTGAGGGAAACTAGGCTGGTGGTTTGAAAGGAGTCACTAGAGGGTCCACACCAGGCCCAGACGGGGCCGCTTCTCGGCCTGGTCCACTGTGCGGTTTGCTTTCCCAGCTGCCTGGCACCGCAGTCCTGGGACGGGCCTGTCTCTTGGTGTTGGTGTACCTAGGAGGGCTTACTGCCACATTCTGAGTCAGGCCAAAGCTGGACCAGACCACTGTTGCGAGTGTGGACATGGAAACGCAGGTGGCTCAGCCTAGTGGCTGTGCTGGACGCAGCTGGCACCCTGTGAGCTGGACCTGTTCCATTTTAAATTCAGGCCTCCTCTGGGGCCTGGGGCCTGGACGCCCCCTCCCAGTGGGAGTCATGAGTGGCGGCTGGACTGTCTTTGCCTGCCTCCCCACAGCACCTCTGCCCTGCGTGTCCTCACCTCTGCCCGTCTCTGCTCACCTCGGCTTTGTCCTGCTGTTCCACTCCCTCCCTTCTCTCTCTGTCTCCTCTTGTGTTTTTATCCCGTGACCCCCCATCTGCCCATCTGACTCTCCGGCAGGAGCCGCAGTGGCCCCAACTGTACCCTTGGCTGGGAAGGTCAGCCAGCCTGTGCCGGGCTAGAGCACCCTGTGCACATTCCCCCACTGCCTACCCTCGGCCCTCCCCTCCTCCAGGGGCCATCCTGCAGCGCAAAGGGCAGGGCACTCACCGCTTCTCCCAGGCACCAGGAGGCTGGCCAGGATGGCGCTGAGCAGGCCGAGGTGCAGCAGGCTCCCCATGGTGTGGCCAAAGACAGTGGCTTCGTCCCTGCTGTGATGGGTGCCGGGTCAAGGTTCATTCAGCCTGGCCCCAGGTGGCTATTGTCCTTCTGCTTATCTTGGCCTCCTGATTGGAGCTCGGGCTGTGGAGAGGGCAGGGCAGGAGACTGGGCCTGTGGTCACTGGCCCCTGCCTTCCCCAGGCAAGTGGGTGGCTGCAGAGGCCACGGCCAACCTTGTCATCATTGGAAACACGGCCCAGCAGGGCTGGCTGCATCCATTCCTGGTTTCAGGAGAGGAGAGGACCTCGTTTGTGTCCCTTTTGTGGATTCCGATGCGCATGTCTCTTACTTACTCTTCACCCCCTTGGCAACAGGGTAGTTTTCTGATCATTCTCCAGAACAGAAACCCAGTTGGAGATAGAGGAGAGGCCTGTCATGGCCCTCGGGTGGAGTGGGATTTTCCCCCAGGCTCTAGGGGCCCCTGGCTGGCTCAGGCAGGCCCCCAGGTGTGGGTCAGGTTTGGGGGACCAGTGTTCCCTGGACAAGACTGCACGTTGTCACCATGTGGCTATCAGAGGACAAGTGACCCTGAAATGGCATTGGGTTGACACAGTTTGTTCCTCACTCACATGGTGTCCAAGAGGGCCAACGGGAAGAGAAGCTGGCCTGCCCTGTTGGGCCTTGCTGGCTTCACAGCAGGTCCAGGGTGGAGGTCGAGGGCCCTGCACGCTTGTTTGGTACTGGTCACCTCTGGAGAATAATTATGACCTCATCTTGGTTTCATTCGTATCCATTTAGGTCCTAGAAGTAGCTTCTGCACAGAGTGACCCTGGGATTGGGGTGGGGAAGGCAAGGGTGTTCAGGTCTGTGACAGAGGAAGCAGCTCAGCTCTCTGGCCGGACCCTGGGAGCTGCTGGGAGTGTGTGCGTGGAATGGGGCGCAGGCCAGGGCAGGGCTGCTCCTGGTCCCAGAAACCTCCTCATAGCATCAGGCCCAGGTGTTTCTGTACTCAATGGCCAGATGAGGAGCCAGAGGCACAGCTGAGATTCTGCTCTCCAGCCTCCTGGAAGAAAGAGCAACACTGGGCTTGTGGGGACCATGGTCACCCAGTCCCCACCTGCCAGAGGAAGAGCAAGCTGCTGGGGAGGCCAGAGATGACCTCATCCTCATCAGAGTCTGTGCCCCGCGGGTGCTCTGTGATCGCAGAGGATGGGCAGGAGTGAGGCTCCTAACTGCTGCAGCCCTCGTGCCTGGTCAGCGGTCACTCCTGTGCGAGGCCGTTGGCACGTAGCCTTGCAGGCAAGGGGGTTCTGTCTGGCTCCTCACTCTGCCTCCAGGTCCTGTGAACACCACCTCGTGGGATGGACAGACAATGCTGGTGCCGAGGCTGGGAGCCGGAGTCTGGCTGAGTGGTCACTGCCACACACCGGGCTGCGTCAGCACCTGGCCCTGGGAAGGACAGTGGAGCTGGCAGCAGCAGTGCCTGGCTGCTGCCCCGCTGGGTGCTGCCTCGGCTGCGCAAGAGTGTGGAGACCCGGTTCTGTGAACGGACGGTGGGACGCTCGGGGCTGACCCGTACTCTGGGAGTGGGACCGAGCAGTGACACTGGCTCTGGGAGCTCCTCCTCTGTCCCCCCTCTCCCAGGCCCACCCTCAGAAACCAGGGTACAAGCGAGCAGGGCCCACTGAGCGTCTGGTCTTCGGGCTCAGCAGTGCCCGTGCATGGCAGCCTATGAGGTGGGGCCTGCATTGAGCCTGAGGTTTGGGAAACTGAGGCTGGGCCAGGGCTCCACTCAGCATCCAGTGACCTCCCTGTCTCTCCCTTGCACAGGTTTGGGTGGGCTCCTGGCCAGGGTCCTGGCCTATGGTCCCCTTCTTCCTAGGAGGAGGGGTCCTGCCAGTGTTCACTTTCGAGGGGCCTCAGCAGTTTCTGCGGCCGCACCAGGCTGAGGCCCTGACCATTTGGTTGCAGAACGGCTGAGCCTGGAAAACACAGGAGACGTCCGGCAGTGTGCCTTCAGTGCCTGTTCTTCCTGGACTGATCCTGTCCTCGGGACAGGCATGCAGGTGGGCTCCTGGTTCACAGAAGACAGTGACCATGCCGAGAGCAGAGGCTCAGTGGACCTCCAGGAGCTCTGGCCGGATGCTGCTCCCAAGGTCGGCTCATGGCTTGGGGGATTGTCAGGAGTTAGCCTGGCCTGGGCCAGCAGATCTTTCCTGCAGAGGTCCTGACACCAAATACATCTGGCTTTGTGGGTCAGGTCCCCTTTGGCTGGATGGCCTTTGTCCTAGCCTCTCCATGGACCATCGATGATGTGCATCTGAATACAGCTGTTGAGAAACACAGCTGGCAGGCGTAGCCCAGGCCACGGCGGACTGGGCACCCCTGGCCCACTCTGAACCAATGCCGCAAGACACTACCATTACTGGCGCTGTGCTCTACGGGAGGCGGAGAGGTAGCCCCACGCAGGTGGGTGCCGGTCATGTCTGGGGTCAGCCACCCTCACCTGGGCTCAAGGGGGCCAGCTGGCCAGCCCCCTGTCTCCCTGTTGGTTGGTTCCTATTCTCCCCGTCAAGGCCACCCGTGGCCTGAGGCTCACTGGCCCTGGGGTAGCAGGAGTGGAACTTGCTGGCTCCATCCCCCTGGGCACCTGTGTGCGGGGCGGCAGCCTCACATCAGAGCACTCGTTCTTCTCGACCACCTCCATGGGGAGCGCTCCTCTCTGTAATGCTGAAACGTGGAAGAAGAGGCCACCGGACACCAAGGGTCTCTGCGACCTGCCCAGACAGCCCCGGGATGCAGGAGTGGAGCCAGTGTGCCCCTGGGCAGGAAGCAGGTGCACCTGTGCCGCACACACACACACTTTATGCTAGAACACGCCCAGGGAGGCTCTGCCAGCCCGAGGTGCTTCGCGTTTAATGGAAAGAGGGTGAGACACCGACACAGAAAGGCAAAGTGAGCCACAGCCCTCAGAGCACCCCCCCCCCTGCCGTGTGTACACATGTGTACACAGCCGTGCAGTCTCAGAGGCAGGGCACGCACAGACGGGGTGCTGGGGGGCCAGGCGGGGCGGCCAGGTCTTCTGCAGCCCTCCTTCAGGACTGCCCGGCACCCTGGGCTGGCCACCTGCCTCTCCTGACTGTCCCTCGCTCTCTGGGCCTCTGCCTTTCTCTCCCTGGCACCAAGAGCGTGGGGAGGGTGGGACTTGATGCAGGGCAGCTCCACACAGTGCCAGTGGCAGCAGCGTCCCCAGGGCAGGGCTGGGCTTCCCCAGGAGCTAGGGGAATGGGGCTCGCCGCAGGATGCCCAGCTGGGGCTTGGAGTCCATGAGCCTGTGGAGCCACTCCGTGTACTGGGAGACCCGGGTGTACACCCCGACATGGCCGGCGGCAGCGCAGCCCTCTCCCCAGCTGACCACACCCGTCAGGTACCACGTGCCTCTGTAGCGTGTGGCGTGGGGGCCCCCGCTGTCCCCCTTGCAGGCGTCCTTGCTGCCGTCCAGGTAGCCGGCACAGAACATGTTCTCTGTGACCACTGGGGAGTCCGGCCTCTGCTTGGATTGCTCCAGGCAGTCCTGGGTCATCAGCCTGGGCACCTCGATGGCCATGAGCTCCAGGGCCGTGGCACCACGGTCCAGCAGCTGGCCCCAGCCGCTGACCCACGAGAAGCGGATGCTGGCCAGCGTGTTCTCGGAGAAGGCCCTCTCCGGCAGACAGAGGGGCACCACGTGGTCAGTGAGGGTCACGGGCTGGTGCAGGCGGAGCAGTGCGATGTCATGGTCAGTTTTGCCCAGGATGTACTTGTCGGGAATGATGACCTGCACCACCCACCGGGCCTGCTCGTCCCCGTCGTCCTCACTGAGGTCATGCTCGCCTGTGGGGAAGCCACAGCTTTCCCACATCAGGCCTGGACACCCCGAGCTCTCGCTCACCTCACCCTCTGGTCAGGAGCCCGTGGGTGGGGGTGTGGCCATTCTGCACCCGGGCACCTGAGCCTCCTCTGGGCCTGGGGGCTTTGCATTCAGGGTCATCCACAGAGCCTCCCCAGAGACGGCGTGTGGAAAGGTGTGGACAGGTGAATCTGGAACCTAGGGTCAAGGGCACCTAAGGAGGAAGTGGGGGACCCCCCCACAACTGGGCGGATGAGAAGGTCCCACTTTCCCAGAGAGCCTCCGAGCCGAGGTCTCCTTCCTCAGTGCCTCCTGCGCCTGCCTGGCCTATGCTCACCAGGATGGTGGCCAAGTGGTCCCGCCAGGGCTGCCCTTCGCACAGGCGTCTGATCAGGGGTTTGGGGGAGTGGGGAGCTTGCAGCCTCAACAGCTGAGCTGGGGTCATTAGAGAAGTTCCCTCAGGACCGCAGCGGGGCAGTACCCACCCAGCACCACGGACAGGTTCCTCCAGCTCCGGATCTTGTCAAAGCAGTGGGCTGCGGACACCACCCAGCTAGGGTCCAGCAGGGTGCCCCCACAGAGCAGCGCCCTGTTCAGCAACAGCACGGCCTGGACAGGAGGTCACATGGTTGCCATGGCCTCCCTGTCCACTGGCTTTCCCCGAGCCCAGAGGGTGCACTGGACTGAGTGGACCCCCACCTGAAACCTGGGGCCGCCACCATCCCTCCCCAGCAAAATGGTGTGGGCCTGACTCTGACAGAGTCCCTCAGGTACTGGCCGAGGACATCAGGGTGGGCTTTTGCTGTGCACCTGCAGACCTCAGGTGACAGGTGACCCGAGCTGGGGAGCACCTTGCACAGTCCTCTGCAGTAGCCTCAGGGCTGCCTCGCTCCCCTTCCCGCCCTGCTCGGCTGGCTGGGCAGGCTGGGCCCCTTCAGTCGTGGGGCCAGTGAGCTCCCACCAAGAGCCCGTGTGCCCTGGGGTGGGGAAGCGGGGGCTGGAGACCAGGTCTGTGTGGGCCTAGGATGTCTTACCTGCCATGGACACTCCCCTTTGGGGCACACCCTGCCCCCCACAATTCGGCCTTGGGGGTTGCTGGCATTCTTTTTTTCCAAAATAGGTATTTTCCCACATGGGTATTCAGCTACATAAAACAAAAGCCGGAGAGGTGGCCGTTTAGGAGGGATGGAGGTGCTCGAGTAGGGGCTGAGAGCACTTGAACCCCGGGGACGTGGACGTGAAGCCACTCCACCGAGGCTCCTGCTGGGGCCTCTCTTCAGGCTCAGGGGCTGCTGCAGGACTGTGGAAGCGGCCTGCCGTGGAGATGGGCAGGGCAGAGGCCCTGCTTCCTGGAACTGGGTCCAGTCTGCCTTTTGCAGGGGGAGAGCTTCACCCAGGTGAGGGGTTCTGTCTGGAGATGAACAGCGCAAGCATGTCCTGGGACCCCGCTTGTCTGTCTCTGCCTGTAGGAGAAGGTCCTGCCCCGTCCAGGCCTGCCAGCCTCGGGGTTTGGGTGCCCCCACTTGAGCATGGCAGTCCATCAGCCTGAGCTTCATTTGGAGGAAATTCCCGTTTTCCTACAAGCACATGCCTTTGGGAAGTTTCGTTGTCCAGAATTGTGCAGCAGTGGGTACAGACACTGTCACTCGCGTCCAGGAACCCCGTGGAGGCCCCACAAGGGGGTGTTACAGGTGGGACAAGGCTTTGTTAGGCTCCCTGGCCCATCTGCCACGGTCAGGGGCCCAGGACCATGTGGTGAGCTGCCCGGGTCCTGTGCTGGGCTCTATTGCACTGGCCTGCCCTCGGGTGGGGCAGCCTCTCTGGCCTGGGCCCTTAGAGGTGGTTGGCACCTAGTGGGAGCCCAGTGTACATCAGGCCATGTCACCTCTTGGTAGGCCAGGGTTGGTGCCTGGCTCCCTGGCATGGGCAGCCACAGCCCCTGGCCTGGTACCTGTGGGCATGCAGGACACTCCGTCCGGTTGCAGAGCGTACCCCTCGTGGCACCGGCAGGAGCGCTTGTCCCCCTCGCGGTCGCTGCAGTATTGCTCACAGCCGCCGTTCTCGTTCACACAGATGAGTTGGGCGTTCTTGTCTGGGACAGAGGGGACAACCTGAGAGGGGCCTTAGCAAGGTCAGTGAGAGACAGCTCCAGTGGCCGCTGTTCTCGTGCTGCGTGGAGGGTGGTGTGCAGTGTGGGCACAGAGCCTGTGGGCAGTCAGGAAGGACCAGACCTGGAGCAGCCTTGCCCAAGGAGAAGCAGGCGGCTTCAGGGGCTGCCAGGGGGTGTGGGTGGCTCCAGGACCATCAGCTCTGCAGGCAGCTGTGGGGAGGCTAAGGAGGGCCTGGGGAGAGCTGGACCTTTTCTGGGGACAGTGAGAGTGTCCACAGAATGGAGACCTTCCCAGTGAGAGGGTCAGATCGGCCCTTGAGCCCGGGCGAGCCAGCTGGACCCTTGGTCCCAACAGAGGAGGGGACCGTCCCTCAGTTTTCCTTGCTGTGGGCATTTTCCATGTGTGTGCCCAGGCTCTGGAGACTCAGCAAGGGCTCACCGGGAGGTGGAGGTCCCATGACAATGTGAAGGATAGGTGGAGGCCTTGGGCTTCCAGGGGCTCCAGAGGGATCAGCCACACCCATGTGACGGAGCCCCAGGGCGCTTCCTGGATGCCAGCTCAGGGGTGCTTCCCTGGTTGGTGACACCACTAGACAGGGTGACTGGAAGCCGGCACCCAGCAGCGGTCTGACTCTGTGTCCTGCACCGTGATAACAAACCCAGTGCTGGAGGATGGCAGAGCCCTGTGTGACCTGGGGGGGGCTGAGCTCAGTGTGACCTGGGGGGAGGTTGAGCTCAGTGTGACCTGGGGGGGGGGCTGAGCTCAGTGTGACCTGGGGGGAGGCTGAGCTCAGTGTGACCTGGGGGGGGCTGCTGAGTTCACTGTGACCTGGGGGGGGGCTGAGCTCAGTGTGACCTGGGGGGGGGGGCTGAGCTCAGTGTGACCTGGGGGGGGCTGAGCTCAGTGTGACCTGGGGGGGGCTGAGCTCAGCGTGACCTGGGGGGGGCTGAGCTCAGTGTGACCTGGTGGGGGGCTGAGCTCAGTGTGACCTGGGGGGGGGGGCTGAGCTCAGTGTGACCTGGGGGGGGGCTGAGCTCAGTGTGACCTGGGGGGGGGCTGAGTTCACTGTGACCTGGGGGGGGCTGCTGAGTTCACTGTGACCTGGGGGGGGGCTGAGTTCACTGTGACCTGGTGGGGGCTGAGCTCAGTGTGACCTGGGGGGGGGCTGAGCTCAGTGTGACCTGGGGGGGGCTGAGCTCAGTGTGACCTGGGGGGCTGCTGAGTTCACTGTGACCTGGGGGGGGCTGAGCTCAGTGTGACCTGGGGGGGGGCTGAGCTCAGTGTGACCTGGGGGGGGCTGAGCTCAGTGTGACCTGGGGGGCTGCTGAGTTCACTGTGACCTGGGGGGGGCTGAGCTCAGTGTGACCTGGGGGGGGGGCTGAGCTCAGTGTGACCTGGTGGGGGGCTGAGCTCAGTGTGACCTGGGGGGGGCTGAGCTCAGTGTGACCTGGGGGGGGGGCTGAGTTCACTGTGACCTGGGGAGGGGCTGAGCTCAGTGTGACCTGGGGGGGGCTGAGCTCAGTGTGACCTGGGGGGGGCTGAGCTCACTGTGACCTGGGGGGGGGCTGAGTTCACTGTGACCTGGGGGGGGCTGAGCTCAGTGTGACCTGGGGGGGGGGCTGAGCTCAGTGTGACCTGGTGGGGGGCTGAGCTCAGTGTGACCTGGGGGGGGCTGAGCTCAGTGTGACCTGGGGGGCTGCTGAGTTCACTGTGACCTGGGGGGGGGCTGAGCTCAGCGTGACCTGGGGGGGGCTGAGCTCAGTGTGACCTGGGGGGGGGCTGAGCTCAGTGTGACCTGGGGGGGGCTGAGCTCAGTGTGACCTGGGGGGGCTGCTGAGTTCACTGTGACCTGGGGGGGGGGCTGAGCTCAGTGTGACCTGGGGGGGGCTGAGCTCAGTGTGACCTGGGGGGGCTGCTGAGTTCACTGTGACCTGGGGGGGGGCTGAGCTCAGCGTGACCTGGGGGGGGCTGAGCTCAGTGTGACCTGGGGGGGGGCTGAGCTCAGTGTGACCTGGGGGGGGCTGAGCTCAGTGTGACCTGGGGGGGCTGCTGAGTTCACTGTGACCTGGGGGGGGGGCTGAGCTCAGTGTGACCTGGGGGGGGCTGAGCTCAGTGTGACCTGGGGGGGCTGCTGAGTTCACTGTGACCTGGGGGGGGCTGAGCTCAGCGTGACCTGGGGGGGGCTGAGCTCAGTGTGACCTGGGGGGGGGGCTGAGCTCAGTGTGACCTGGGGGGGGCTGAGCTCAGTGTGACCTGGGGGGGCTGCTGAGTTCACTGTGACCTGGGGGGGGGCTGAGCTCAGCGTGACCTGGGGGGGGCTGAGCTCAGTGTGACCTGGGGGGGGGGCTGAGCTCAGTGTGACCTGGGGGGGCTGCTGAGTTCACTGTGACCTGGGGGGGGGCTGAGCTCAGTGTGACCTGGGGGGGGGGCTGAGTTCACTGTGACCTGGGGGGGGGCTGAGCTCAGTGTGACCTGGGGGGGGCTGAGCTCAGTGTGACCTGGGGGGGGGGCTGAGTTCACTGTGACCTGGGGGGGGCTGAGCTCAGTGTGACCTGGGGGGGGGCTGAGCTCAGTGTGACCTGGGGGGGGGGGGCTGAGCTCAGTGTGACCTGGGGGGGGCTGAGCTCAGTGTGACCTGGGGGGGGGGCTGAGCTCAGTGTGACCTGGGGGGGCTGCTGAGTTCACTGTGACCTGGGGGGGGGCTGAGCTCAGTGTGACCTGGGGGGGGGGCTGAGTTCACTGTGACCTGGGGGGGGGCTGAGCTCAGTGTGACCTGGGGGGGGCTGAGCTCAGTGTGACCTGGGGGGGGGGCTGAGTTCACTGTGACCTGGGGGGGCTGAACTCAGTGTGATCTGGGAGATGGCTGAGCCCAGTGTGATCTAGGGGGGCTGCCGAGCCTGATGTGATCTGGGGGAGCTACAAGCCTGGCAATGATTTCATATTTATCAGCTGAAAAAATACCTCTGACCTTTGTAACAGCAATGGGAAGGTGACTGTCACCAGCTGACTCACCTCTGGGGATGGAGGCCTATCAGAATTTCCCAGGGCTGGTTCCAAAGGGGACATGGAATCCTGAGACACAGGCTCCTAGACCTCTCAGTTTGGAAGGGGCCTTCAGTGTCTCCTAGAACTTCCCACGGGGGCTGAGACCAGGTGGACCCCAGCCCTGCACAGACTCTGCGCCGGCCCCTCCCCTCAGCCCAGGGCCCTGTCTGCGACCTCCGGGCAGGAGGCCGGCCTCACTTGTCTCACAGTTGCGTCCCTCAAAGTCGGGGAGGCAGAAGCAGACGTAGGACTGGAGCTGGTCCTCACAGGAGCCCCCGTTCTGGCATGGATTCGAGGCACACTGGTCCCCATCTGTGGGTGAGCTGGCATTAGTGTGCCGAAGAGAAGGGCTGCAGGGTGGGCTGGAGAGGGTGCGTGGCCTGCTCACCGTTGTAGGAAGTCCAGAACTGCCTCTGGGGAACAGGAGGAGCCCGTGAGACACCCAGAGGGAGACACCCAGAGGGAGACACCCAGAGCGCGACCTCGGCACCCTCAGGGGGAGCGTGGGCGGGGGTGGACCTGGGCCTCTGTGGGGCACTTGGGAAGAGGTCATCCCTCTGTGGAGGAGGTGGCCTCCTCTGGAGGGGACTTTCTCTATTCCCTGACATGGAGCTCTGGCGGAGGCCACGGGTTCCTCTCTCCCAAGCCAGAACACTTGAGTCCAGTCCCAACTTGGCCTCCCCATCTGTGACCTGGAACCAGACACATGTTTGGGGGCCTCCATCTGCAGACAGGTGAGTGTGCACCCTGGGGGTGACATGAGCAGAGGGGCAGAGTGGGTAGAGGACTTCCAGGAACGGCCAAGCGCTTGGTGGGTGAAAAGCAGCTCCTGGAGAACTTTTGTCCAGCTGAAGCTAAGGTCAGAGGGTGCGGTGGGGGGACAGGTGGGGGGACAGGTGGGGGGACAGGTGGGGGCCTGAAGCACTCCGCAGGAGGGCACAGACCCCTTCGCCCGGAGGGGCAGCTGGCCTCAGCTAGGACAGGAGACTTCCAGGTGAGTGTGAGGTGTGTGGGGGGGAGGGGAGGGCCGTGGGTGTCCGGAGGGCGTGGTGTGACAGGGTGCGCGGCCTGCGAGTGTGAGGCTTCGGTGGGTGTGCGGTGCCCTGGGAGTGTGTTGACCTGAGTTAGCTGGTTTGAAAACCTCATGTAGAGCGAGCTGAGGGCCTGGGGTCTCGGGGGCCCTGGGATTCCTCTGGGGACCCAGGATTCCTCTGGCTCCCATTTTCCTGAGATGTCGCTATAGCGATAAGCTGGAATCACCCCGAGTCCTAGTCTGCCCATCATATCTCCACTTCCACTCTTGGCGAAAATATTCAAAGGGCAGAGTTTGAATGGAGGGCAGGTGGCCAGCCTGCCTGTCCACGCATCTCCATGCCTGACACCAGGAGTGAGACAGCCCTTGGCGGCCAAGCGTGTTGGAGGCGGTCAGGACGCCTCCAGGTTCTTCACACCTGTTCCCTGGGAGGTCCTGGGGCAGAGGGCCACCAGGCCAGCCTCTCACTGTGTCTGTCAGTGGTGCTGAGATGCATGGGCAGCCCTGGGTCCAGGCCAACTTCCTGGGGCAGCCAAGGGACCCATGGAATGTGCCTTTCGAATGACACGTTCCCATGTATAGATGTGTCTGCGTGGTGGGGCAGAGAGCAGGGACATGGTGTGCTGGAGGGCTCCTGGGCCCAGGGAGAGGTGGGGAACCTTGCAGAGGAGCTGAAGCTGTCTTGGAGGGCAGAGGCCCCCGTGGCGAGGGCTGTGCAGGCCGGGGCCCTGTGCGGTCACCTGGCTGGAGCCCCCAGAGCCGCATACGGGAGACACAGCTCACTCCCTCTGCGGCCTCTGAGGCCTCCTGGGCTGGGCCCACACTCACCGTCCTCTCCAGGCTCCTGAAGATCTCGCGGGCCTCCTCGAAGGAGCACTGCTCCTCCTTGCACTCCCTCTCCAGGGAGCCTGGCCGCAGCTCCTCCAGGAGGGAGTTGGCACGCCGCTGCCTGTGGAGGACACTGTGCGCTTCCTCCTGGGTCACGAAGACTGAGAGGGAGCCTGTGAGCACGGCCGCCCCCAACCCTCCAGCCCGTCAGCAACAGGACCGCCTCACTGAAGGGAGCCGAGGTCCTGCTGTCCTGAGGGCTTCCCTACAGAGAGCCACGCGCCCAGGCCGGGGGATCTGAGGTGGGTGGGCTTCTCCTGAGGGCTGGGGACGGCCACATGGCACCGTGTTCATGGAAGCCACTCTCACACACCCTCCCTGTTGAACCTGAATGCCCACAGTTAGGACTTTATCTTAAGGAAACGCTCAGTCTTGTAGAAGCCTGAGCTGCGGGGACTGGGCGTACCAAGTCTGAAGGCCACACCCCGGCACCCAGTGCTGCGGTCACACTGTGCTTAGGAAGATGTGACCCTGAGGGGAAAGATGGTAACATAGCACGTCCTGCCCTCGCCCCTCGGGGTACACGGAAGTATCCCGAGTGTGACGGGCATGCGCGAGTCCTGCTGGGCTTCTCACAGGTGACAGACGGTCCACGTCCCTGTGGCTGGGCTGGGGAAGTGTGGGGAAGGTGTGGGCCGTTCCAGCACAGGGTGCCATTTGCAGCAGAGACAGGTTTGGTGTAGGCCCGAGGCACGTCCCAAGCCACACAGCCCTGGGCGTCCTGACCCCCTGTGCCAGCTCCCCGAGGCTGGGTGCCTGCCTCACACTGGGCCTTCCTGGCCTCTGTGCTGCACCTCAGCTGCAGACCTTTGCCCTCCCCGGGCCTCCCACGCCCCTTCCTGATTCTCCCAGAGACCCCAGCAGCTTCTAGGAGGTGGGTGGGTGGCTTGGGTGGCCTGGGCCCAGGCCTCAGGGCAGGCTGTAAAGGCCTGCACCTCTCTCCTGACGGGGAGGAAGGAGGGGTGTCGAGGCAGAGTCACCCTCACCAGGGTGCAGGTGATCCCAGCAGCGAGGCTTGCGCTGAGTTTGAGGCTTCTCCGGGACACCAGTAGATGCGGGAAGAGTGAGAGGAAGTGCCGGTGGCTGGTGTGGGAAGAGTGAGGCCAGGGAACAGGGGTAGCTGGGGAAGGAGCGGGAGCAGCAGACACAAGGTGCCCCAGCTTGCCACGCATCCGAGGCTTTCTCCCCTGAGGCCTCAGCGCCCGCCATGTGGCGGTGGTGGCAGGCCACCCTGCTCCAGCGCCCCACAGACGCATCCTACCCGGGACCCAGGAGCTCTGCTCTGAGCAGCCCCTCTCCGCTTGGCCAGCTTCACAGGCAGGACCCACGAGCACCCAGGAGAGCACCCTGCTCCTAAAAGTTTCTCGAAAAATGACCAGCCAAGTCTGCCCTGTGGCGCACACCTGCCATCCCAGCGACTTGAGAGGCCAGGCAGGAGGATCACAAGTTCAAGGTCAGCCTGGATGATTTAGTGAGGCCAGTATCAAAATAAAACATTTTAAAAAAGGGCTGGTGATGTTGGACAGTTGTAGAGGGCCCCTGGGTTCAACCCTGATCTCACAGAGAGGGAGGGAGAGAAGGAGGAAGAGAGGGAGAGGGAGGGAGGGAGAGAAGGAGGAAGAGAGGGAGAGGGAGGGAGGGAGAGAAGGAGGAAGAGAGGGAGGGAGGGAGGGAGAGAAGGAGGAAGAGAGGGAGGGAGGGAGAGAAGGAGGAAGAGAGGGAGGGAGGGAGAGGGAGAGAAGGAGAGGGAGGGAGGCAGAAGGAGAGGGAGGGAGGGAGAGAAGGAGGAAGAGAGGGAGAGGGAGGGAGGGAGAGAGGGAGGGAGGGAGGGAGGGAGAGAAGGAGGAAGAGAGGGAGGGAGGGAGGGAGGGAGAGAAGGAGAGGGAGGGAGAAGGAGAGGGAGGGAGGGAGGCAGAGGGAGAGGGAGGGAGGGAGAGAAGGAGAGGGAGGGAGGGAGAGAAGGAGAGGGAGGGAGGGAGGGAGAGAAGGAGAGGGAGGGAGGGAGAGAAGGAGAGGGAGGGAGGCAGAAGGGGAGGGAGGGAGGGAGAGAAGGAGAGGGAGGGAGGGAGAGGGAGAGGGAGGGAGGGAGAGAAGGAGAGGGAGGGAGGGAGAAGGAGAGGGAGGGAGGGAGGGAGGGAGGCAGACTGAGTAGCTGCTCCTCCGTGCACCCTGGGCACTTGGACACTTGCTTTTTGGCAGTGTTACCAGTGGCCGGCAGACGCCTGTCCAGAGCAGAGGCAAGGCTTGGGTGGCCTGGGCCCAGCCCTCAGGACTCGCTGTAAAGGCCTGCGCCTCTCTCCTGGGAAAGCCCTCCCAAGAGGACATACCTGCAGCCAGGGATCCCTGAAGTCCGAGCAGAAAGCAGAGGAGGGTGAGCCCGTGGGAAGCCATGATGAGCTCAGCGGCTCCCTGCTGTGGACATCCAGAGGGGACAGGGGGCAAAGGGCAGGAGCTGGGCGGAGGAGGGGAGGGCAAGGGCGCCTGAACCCCAGGCCAGGAGCGGAAGCCCTGGTGCCCAGCAGGGGGAGAGGACAGGGTGCTGGGGAGAGCCCTGGTTCCTGGCAGAAGTGTGAGTTCAGGCCTGCGTCTGGCAGGGGCGCCCCAGGGGCACTGCAGAATTCAAGGCCCTGGGACCCAGGACAGTAAGTGAAAACTACGCTGTGTCGCAGGCCTTGGTGAGGCCAGAGGACTTGGAGAGGGGCCGGGGAGGCCCAGGCCTCTCAGAGGGCGAGAAGCTGCTCTGCCCGGCACCAAGCCTGTCTCTGCTGCAGAGGGCACCCTGGCTGGGACGCCACACCTCCTCACACTCCCCAGCCCAGCCACCAGCCAGATTTCTGAGGATCAGGGACTTCCTGGGATAAAGCTGGCTGTTCCAGCTGCTCCAAGATCTAAGGTCACCCATGCCTCCTGGTGTCCAGTGGGCCTGGGCTGAACCCTCTGAGGGCAAAAGTCCTTTCAGAGATGGGTTCCTGCTGATGCTCCTTCAGAACTGGACTTCCCTTGGGTTGGCCCTGACTTGACCATGTCCTCCCTGCACCTGTGGTCATCTCAGCCCTCAGAGCAGCTGCTCATTTTGGGATAAAACGCACTAACTGTCCAGCTCAAACTCAACCCCTCCTTTCCCTGGCAGATTTGTGGGGCTGGGCATAGGATCAGATCCTTCATGAACTTGAAAAACAGGCAGATTATCAGGCTCTGATTGCCTTGAGATAGGAGCGATTTATTTAAAGACACAAAAGCTACACTTTAAAAGATGGACAAAAAGGCACCTAGGCACAAAGGAGTGGGGGTCCACGGGAGGAGTGGAACAGCAGCCCTGGGCCTGTCCCCTGTGTGCGAGACCAGTCATAGGGTCCTGTGCCGTGGGTCCGATGTGGAAGGGAGACCAAGCAGACAAGACCCTCAGGGTCCAGGTGGAAACCTCCACTCTTGGGTCCTCAGGAGCCGGTGCTGGGACAGCCACAGGGAGGCTGCCTGTTGTAGCCTGCTCAGGATTGCGCTCTCCGCGCCTGCGGTGGCTGAGCTGGCTCCCTACTCCACCTAGAGGACAGGCTGGCAAGCTTGGCCCCTGGCCCCTGGCCCACGCCCAGAGCCGTCTCCACTGGGGCTCCACTGGGATCTGTCTTCTGCCACGTGCCTTATGGCTAGTTTTCTCATTCTACAAAGACTGCGCTGCTGGAGTTCTGACAGAAGTACCTTAAGTTTGCAGGCTAATTTGGAGGAGAATTGACATTTTGGTGACGTCGGATGCCCCCTCCATAAGCACCTCTCCACTTCCCTAGGCGTTCTCTCCTGGCCTATGGCATGTTGTGTTTTGTCCACAAGTTTCATCACTTGGTTGCTGTTGACATAGCGACTGTTTTCGGTTTGTTACTGCTAGGAATGTCTCTGGGGGTCAACCTTGGAGACTCGGCAGTTCTAACAGCTTCTGGGTTCTCCCGGGTTTTCTAGTTCCTCTCCACCCCCACGCCTCACTTCCTTTTCCTGTTGCAATCCCGTGTTCCCCGTGAAGGACCGCGAGCAGCGGTGGGCTTCCCTGTGTTTTGCCCTCAGTGGGGATGATTCTGAAGGATTTTGGGACACAAAGTTTGGAGGTGAAGATTGTTAGATACACTTTATTAGGTTAGGGAAATTCCCTTCTATCCCTTGTGTAGCCTAACATTGCGGATGACTGCTCAGTAAAAACCGTGTCCTGCACCCCTGCACCTGGCCAGGTTCTCCTTCAGTGTGTTAAAGCCAACTTTTTGAGAGCCCCATGTTTCTGCCATCGCACATCTGTGCCTTGTGGACACCCCTGCTTGGGTGTCATCTGTGCCTGTGCAGGGTGGCGCTGGGGTTGGAGCCCGGCCTCCAGCGGGGAGCAGGGCAGGCACACCTACCACCAAGCCGTACCCCAGCTCCTGGGACTTATATTTGTAACATACTGCTGGGATTCTGGAAGTTTTGTATTCATCTTCATAATTTCATGTTTTTCTTACATAATATCTGTCTTTGTGTACCAAGGAAAAACTTGCTTCAGGAATATTTATATTTTTTGTTTGAACCAGTTTGTGTAAATATCTTTATATGCCTAGAAAACCACCTGGTCTGGTACGATCTGGAGTTTTTTCCAACTCCAATTTAATTTCTTTGTTATTCATTCATCAACCCAAGCATGTTATTTCTTCTGGACTAATTTTTAACAATTTAGCTTTTTAAAAAGAAGTCTCCTATTTTATCTGTTTCCCAGACGTATTAGTAGGAACTTGTTCCTATGGTTCTCTCAATTAAAAGCTGTTATTCCTTGTGGACCAATGGGTCCATCTTGTGAGGTTTTTTGGGGACAAGCCTTTGGCTTTGGTCTGTTTGGGTTTTGTTGTTTTTCCTCCTTTCCTTTTCACACTTCTGATGAGTTTGCTGGACCTACTTTTCAGTTTCCTCAAATGGGTAACTCGTTAATTGTGTCACATAAAGCTTAGATGCAGTTGGCTGTAAAACCAATCTCAGCTGTGCCTCAGCTGCAGCCCTCAGACCCTGGCCAACACGTGGACACCTGTCCAGCTCTAGGGACCAGATCCCCATGATGTGGCCTTTCTAATCCAGGTCTTGGAAACATACTTTTACATTCCCAAATTCTTCTAAACAAATGTTCAATAGCAAATGTTTCAGGGTCTCCTTTAGCAGTTATTTGTCTATTCTAATAGCGTTCAGACCCCCAAATGTCTTCAAGACAAACGTTTAAAAGCTGAATTGTTAAAATTGGCCCAGAAGAAATAAAATACTTGAGGTAATGAATGAATAACAAAGAAATCAAATTGCTGTAAATGATCACCTTACCCACAGTCTTTTCACTGGTCTGTAGACACTTGGAGAATGTAGCATGCGTGCTGAAACATGGCACTGCCTTTTCTATTTTTAAGGACAGTTAACAGTCTTTACAGGAGGAAGTAGCATCTCGCTCTGCCTGCCAAGGCTTGCTTTCTGTGTTTTGGGCTTATTATTGTTTGCTTAGGTGTTTGCACACTGTTCCTTGTACTCTAAGTGCCCTGTTTCCATGGCTGTGTCCTCAGCATTGTTATGCTGCTTCCTCTGCTCCGTATTTTCCTGGTCTTCTTGCTTTCTTTTATTTTCGATCTTGGCATATTTTTATTCCAGGGATCCTTCATCAGTTACCTGCCTATCCAGTTCAGGGCTCTTCCTGTAAGTCAGCCTCCTGTGTAGGTCAGCACCTTCCTCCCACCTTCTGTGGGTTGGGCCTCTCTAGATCCCATTTCATGTTTTCTGTTTACTGTGTTCCCTTCCTCTCTTGGGCCCACGACCTTCCTGCACTCTCCGCCACTTTGGTTTGAAGATGTGGGGTGTTATTCTGTAAAGGTACTCTCGGGTCACCTTCACGTTTTGACGTGTACACCCAGTACTACTTATCATCACCACAGCTGGACGGGGTGAAGCACCCAAGCTTCAAGGCCTGCGCTCCCTGGGTCCTGCCCGCCGCCAGCCTCTGTTGCCTGGCTGTGCAGGCCCTACACCATCATGGGGCTCCATGTTCAGAGAGCAGGCCGAGAGCAGGGGTTTCTGACGTTTATTCAAACTTCATCCATACAATAAAGAGCTCTGATTTTTAACTTTCATTTACATCAGCAGTTAAAAGAAAAGTAACAGTCAATGAAACATGACGTTTTAAAGTGCCTTCATGAGGGAGAGATCACAGAGAGGGCAAGCCCAGGTTGAGACAGAAGGAGCTGCGTCTGGACTGGAGATGAGGCGGACCACACTCCGTTTCCAAGTGTGCACCAGGAGAAGCGCTGTGGGTCTTCACAGGCCTCGTGCTTGATCCCCTCCTCTGGAGGTTGGCCAGCAAGGGCTCCTCGCACCACAGGGTGGGGAGGGCGCTTCACCTTGGTCACAGCGGGGCGGCAGCCCCCACGGCAGCAGGGCAAGGAGACAGGGAGGACTATAAAGTGACACATGTTCAGCAGCATGAGACCATAAATACGCCTTTACATCCAGATCGTATGTACACACACACACACACACACACCACACCTGCCCTCCAGGAAGTCTCAAGAGGACAGATTTGTTTCTGAAACACAAAAAGGGTTTGAAAAGCAGAAGGGTTTTGGTTCCAGTTCTGCCATGATTTGAACACAGGAGACCCCTGCACACATCACTCAAGGTGACCCTAACCACACCTGTGGACTTTCCTGCAAGGCCAGGTAGGTGGTGCCAGAGAAGGACTTGGTCCTGCCTGAGGCGCCAGCACACCTGTTCACTCAGCACAGTGGACAGGGAGCTCAGAGACCCCACAGAAACTGCATCTCTACACTGTCTTTAAAAACAACAAAAATACACTAATTCAGTGAAGCTCTTTAAAAAATTGAGAGTCCCCTTATTTTGTAGAAAAGAAGGTTAATATTTTGAATTAGAGTTTAAATTTTCTTATGAAATGAGGCCGATGCATGTAGAAGGACCTGGTTTCTTACTGCTTTTGGTTGTGAGACTCCACCTGATTTTATCCATGTGTGTTGTCTCACCTGTGACCAGGTGTGCTTCAAGGGGTGCCGGCATTTCAGAGAGTGCCCAAATCATTTAGTGATATAGACAACGAGCTTTGATGTAAACCCCAGTAACAAAAAAATAGTTTTATATCAAATACAGTATCAAATTATCATTTCATGTAAACACAGTGATTCTTGGTAAAGATTTGAGGCCAAAGTACCACAAAAAATGGCCACGGGATTAATCCCTGTTTTTTAAAAATCAGAAACTTATAAAAGACAAGAGTTCCCCAGGCCCCTCTCTCCGGCTGCTTTCCGAGGCGGCTCCCACCGGGACATTCCCACAGCAAGCACCAGACCAGGCGTCGGAGGCGCCCGCACCGAGGAGGGCGGCCGGCGCGCGGGTGAGGGGCTGTCCCCAGGCCCCTCCCCTGTCCTCTCTGCACCTTGCAGTGGCCCTGGGGCCTGGTCCTGGGAGCTGGCTTCTGCCCCCGGGGGCCGGCTGCTGAGGCCCGTGTCCCTCTGCGGCCGGCGGGTGCACTGGGGTCCTCCTGTGTTTGGCTATCTTGGAGCGCCGTCCCCTCCCCAAACTACGCAAAGCCC